GAGGTGGGCGGGGCTGACATTCTGCTGCCCTTTTACTGATGGTGTTTGATTGACAGGAAGGTCAGCCAGTGACAGCTGATGGAGCTCAGAGCTGCAGAACTCCACGCTGATGGACACACACACACACACACACACTCTTAACTTTAATTTTTCATGAATATCTTGTTTTTTGGTAATAAAGGCTCTTTTTCATATTTGATTTTAAAAAATCAAAAGAATCAGTTCTGTTTTTGAATACTCGTAGTGTGACTATGGCTTGAGGAACTAGCTAGAGAAGCTTTCATTTTAAAACATTTTAAAACACACGCAGCTTTTATTTTCAGATTGCCACTGTTCATTTTAGACTGCAACAGGAAGCAGGATTCTTTCATTAGAGCAGCAATGGGTACTTTTTACACAGAGCTGAGAACCTCTAAATACTGAGGAAGGTTATATTTTGACACCAATCAATCATATAAAGAAGCTGGTTTCCCACAACAACCCAATACGGAGAATAATGAATCACTGGATTAGTAACAGGTCGCCATAATAAGAGTTCTTACGCTCAAACCAGTATTTTTGTTTTGTCTCAGGTATCTGATGAGAACAGTGAAGCACCCCATCCTGCTGAAGGATCCTGATGTCCTGCAGTTTCTGGAGAGCTCAGAGGTAAACAAAACTTTACACATTTTACTAGAAGAACGTGAACCTATCTTATCACATTGGTGCCAGTCAGTCTGTATGAGTAGTACACAACAAACCTGTTATTAACAGACAATCAGATCTCTGTGCTTCCTTGTTTCCCAACAACAGTGATTTAGTTCCAGCAGCAGTTTATTCAGCCAGGGGCCTGTTTAATGTCACTGGCAAACTTTTAAAGTCCAGTCAGCCTTTAAAAGTGGACTACAGTCGGCATTGTCTGTTAGAAACTGAATCTTCATCAGTGCCTTACTGCAGAAAATCAACAAAACCTACAAACTGCAGTTTGGCTCCTTCACTTCAACACTTTGTCTTGTTTCCATTTCTGTAGTTTAATTTTTATCTGGACACTAGATCACTGGGTAGGAGATAAAAACAGGGCAGCACATTGTTGTTTATGAGATGCAGTTTACAGTGCAAGTTTTGGGTCAGGTGTGCTGAGAAGTAAAATGGTTCAACTTTTTGACTTGTTTGTCCATTTGTTTCCTAGCTAAACAAGAAATGAGAATTTAGATCAGGTAATGACAAAAAGCATTGCTGGATTGACTTTTCATTCCATTATAGTGTCTGTACAGACACTATTACTAATCAGAATTTATCTATCATGCTAGGGCTGGGGATATGTCAAATAATGTAGTAATTAATTATTAATTAATCACACAATAATTAATTATCAATGTATTCATTTTTAATTAATTACTAATTCATTACTTAGTAATTAAAGTAATTATTTAATAATTAATGTTTAGTTTTTTTTAAGATGTGTAAAATCGTGAAATTCAAGCTATTTCAACCAAAAAGCGTTATATAAGTAACACAGATTAAAAATAACTGCAGGATAAAATGAATTACACAAATAGTGTCTAAAATAGTTTTTGGATGTTGCCCTCTACATACAAAAAAATAATTGATTCAACTTGAAATAACAGATTTTTTTGGCCACCAAGGGGCAGTGGAAACAAGCTGTGAACACTGCATTGACATATTTTAAGTTGATATGTTAAACTTGTTCACAAACAGTTAACTTATTTACACACCAGCAGTTATGTGTCCAGCTGATTAACATAAGATCAGAACATCAGATATTCACTCTGCTTTTAGCTCTGTTTTAGTATAGGGAAATATCTATATCTCCCACTGTGTTCTCCAGGTACTCTCTAACTGTGTCTGTCGGCTGTTTGCTGCTGAGCACGTAGTGTACAGTAGGGTTTTAGAGCTTTTTCGCTGAAAACAAATTACACTATGAGAGCAGAGAGCCGAAACTCACAATTCTCTGTAGGTTCACCGTTACTTGTTTTCACATAGTCATTCCTATATTATTACAAAGATTTCAATCGTGGCCTCTTCAAAGATTTTAGACACCACCTTGTTTATTCTGAGAGGCTTACTGGAGCTACATGGTGGCACTAGCTGAAAGGTCAAGGGTCCTCTGGGGACCATTAATATCCACAATAATGTGCTGGTAATCTGACCAGGAGTGTTAACGTATTTCACTCTGGACCAAAAAGATGGACACACAGACAGACTAACCGAAAATCTGATAGACAATCCTAGGGGCAAAAAAAATTTACGGACCCCCAGAAGAGGCAAAAGAAAACCTCTGCCTGAGTTTTCCGATCTCTTCACTTCTTTTTCTCAACAAGCAGCAAAACGTCCCGACAAGGTCAAACCAACGAGTCTGCGGTTGTGAGCCGAGCCTCTAAAACTGCCTCGGGGTTTAAGGGCCTGCGGCGTTTCCTGTTTCCTCGCTTTATTGTCCACTCTCACTTAATCCTCTATAACATTTCGTCTTGTTGGTTCAAACTGCTCCCCCCCTCCCTCCCCTCCTCCTCCTCATCGCCCTTTTCTGCCACCCACCTAACCGTTTTGTGGGATTGTGTTGGGAAGGAGCCGGCAGTTGTTGGGTCCACAATAAATGGCCTTGTGTCACTGATTTAACAGATGAATCACTCGGACGCTTGACCGAGCGTGTCGGTCCGTCCAGCCCGCTTAATGAAACACAACCAGAGGAGGGGGAGGCGGGAGGGAGGGATGGGACCGGGGCTGCAATTGAAAGCTATTTTTACCCCCCGCCTCCACTCGTTTACCCTCGTCCCTTCGTCAGTGAGGGCCTCGGGGACCGAGCCGTCCCCTGGCTGCTGCCGCTCCCGTTAAATGAGATTGGAGGGTGGGGAGGGGGTAAATCTGTTCCAGCGTCAGAGGAAAACCCTGTATGTCCGGGAAAAAAGTAAACTTTTCCAAAATGAAGAAAAATGAGCCTATTTTCAGATGGACGTCCAGGCGTTTTCAGAGTGACGCGATGGTTTCTGAGTCTGTTTTTGCGGCTGTTAAAGTTGCTCGGCACATAAAGCGACTGCATTAAATCTGATTGGAGCTAAAACGTGGGAGACATTACAATCAGAGGAGAGGAGAGAAAAGACCACAGCTGTGGTAGAGTTAGAGATTGAAGGAAAGATAGAACAGAAAAGAGAGACACCAGAGAAACTGAACACAACAGCCACCAAAAGAATATAAAAATCAAAGGAAGAAGAATCATGAAGGTGAAAGAAGGACAAATAAAGTGAGCAGGAGAGCAAATAAAGAAAACAACTGCAGGGGATTTAAAATGAGACAAACCGAGAGACTTGGTGGAAATTAAAGGATGAAAAGAACCAAAGAAAAAGAAACAAAATATAAACGATCAACAAGGAACAAAGAGAAACACCGATAGAACAAAGTGTGAAAGATGGAAAGATTTTCAGATACTGAATAAAAGAGTGTGTGACATGCTAAAGATTAAAAATAAGAGAAACAAACAAACAAACAAGAGAAACAAGCAAAAGAAGCAGAAAAATGAATAATATTAAAGTGAAAATGAAAGAGGGAAAAAAATGTGTCAAAAAAGAATCGGAATGGAAAAGAGATGACATAAAACGACATACAAATGAATAAAGACTGGTCCCCAATGAAGTTACAGTGGAATAGTGTAATGGCTCACATTGTAAATTTAGTCTAACGTACACTGACACAGCTCTTTAAATCTGTTACAAAACCCTCCAGAAATGAAACTGATTATGCTCTTTAAGCAGCTTTTAATGTGAAACATCATTGCAGGAAGTGTTTAGTTTTATTGATGGTAACTTGATTTAAAAATGAGCCAAATCAAATGAACTGGAAATAATTATTGAGTGGAAACGGTATCAGTGTTAAACAGAGAATGCGTTTTCAGCAGACTGATGAGGATGGCACAGTCTTTGTACTGATGGAATTGTTGCGGAAACGGGACATTAAACTGAGTTTATCAAGACCAGGAGGTTTGCATCAACAGCAAATTAAAACATGAGCCGATCAGTAAACAGGGAGCTTTGTTACTTAAATATCATTAAATATACTTTTTTAGAAAGAAGTTAAAATTAATGAGAAATAAAGGCCTGTCTGTTCCCCAATTTAACTCATCCGGTTTGTTTGCTTGTTTGCCGTCCAGTTGCCGCGGGCAGTCAGCACTCAGGCTCTGAGCAGCGCCGGACTTCTCCGAATGGTCAACAAGGCTGCAGACGCCGTCAACAAGATGACCATCAAGATGAACGAGTCAGACGCAGTGAGTGAAGGATGGAGGAGAGGAGGAAGGAAATAAGGTGGAGGACTGAGGGGAAGGATAGGAGGAAGGAACGATCAAGGAAGGAGGAACAGGAAGAGAAGAGTGGCTAGAAGGGAGGAGAGATGACAGTAAGGCTGGAGGAATGAAGGGAATTAAGGGAGCAGGGAAGAAAGGAAGGAAGAGAAGATTAAATATGTGTTGGTGAAGAAAGGAAAAGTAAGGATGTAGAGAAGATGGGGAGCAAGAAAGGAAATATGAACTATGAAAGTCGGGTCAGGGTGGAAAGAAAGAAAAATGGAAATAATAGAATAGGAAGAAAGGCAAGTTTAGTTAAAACAAAGTATTAAAGTTTAGCATCTACTGACAGCACTCTTACTAAACTCCTGATGTGTGTGTGTGTGTGTTTGTTGTGTCTCAGTGGTTTGAGGAGAAGCAGCAGCATTTTGAGAATCTGGATGTTCAGCTGAGGAAACTTCATGCCAGTGTGGAGTCTTTGGTCTGTCACAGGAAAGGTACGATCCCCCGTAATATTTAGTTTTTAAGCATAACAGTTATTTGGATGTTTTAGTCCCTGAAGGGTTCTTACAGAACGGCTCCACATATTGTGAAAATGATCTAAAAATACGTAATATTGTAGGGAGGCAAGCCTTAAACCCACATAATGTAGATGTAATCACTACACACATCTGTGTGTGTGTGTGTGTGTGTCCATTCTGATCTCTCACTGCAATATAAAATTCCACTGCTTTATTTATTAGACAGTTAAAAGGTCAACTCTACTCAGCAGGAGCTGTACACCTCATGTCATTTTAATCTGCGTTTAAACCCTCAAAAAAGAAGGAAGTGTTTTTTTTTATTTTTTTATTTGAGGGTAGAGCAAATGTAGAAAACTCTTTTATTCAGTTAGAGACGTCAATAAGTTCTGAGAAGTACTCTGCTGGCTTGCACTGAATCATGTTTTGAGACCAGACTCTGGAATTTCTCCCATCGTCTCCTCTCCAGAGCTGTCGGTGAATACGGCGCAGTTCGCCAAGTCGGCGGCCATGTTGGGGAACAGCGAGGACCACACGGCTCTGTCCCGAGCTCTGTCCCAGCTGGCCGAGGTGGAGGAGAAGATTGACCAGCTGCACCAGGACCAGGCCAACGCAGATTTCTACCTCTTTTCTGAGTTACTGGGCGACTACGTCCGCCTCATCACCGCCGTCAAGGTACAGCCGGGTTTGCTGGTTAGACACAAACCCCATTACACAGGACCTGAGCCTCCTGAGCCCTAAACCTGGAGAGCCTCAATCCCTCTGTAGAGTACATTTATTTTATTTAGTGAAGTTAAAGGCAGTTATAACTATAACTGTGTTCTGCTGAATTACTTATCCAACCTGCTGTGTGAGCTGCTGGACACCAAACACCTGAGTCCAGGTAGGATCGAGACACCGTGTGAAAGATGAGTAGAGTAGAGGGAACTAGAGTAGAATTAAGTCCTGGTTATTTGTATATTTTATTGAGAACTAGCTGCAGCTATTGAACCTTATTTGAACGCAGGCAACAAGTTTAAAAAATGTATATAAAAATGAGACCTGTTGTTTATGATAAAGCATTTATATCCTTTTATATAAACTTTAAATGAATATGTACTGTATCTACCTTAAGAAGATATATTAGAATACATTCTACTTACAATAAAGTTTAGTAATTATGTCTCTTAATTAACACATTGTTCATGTGTCAGAACTCCCTCTGCAGCTCAGTAAAGTTTGGGCCTTTATGGTCTCATCCTTGACATTTTTGTAGTTGATTGTGTTGGCTCCTTCTCATAAGATCAAACAAACTAAACTAAAAAAAAATAAATCTCACAGCTATTGTAACAGAGGAAAAGCTTCAGTGTTTTCACTATACTCCTATTTATGCCCCTGTGTATTTTTCTAAAATACATGAACAATTAATTGGTTCATAAAAAAACCTTTTTGTTTAGTTGTTTCAAATGATCCCCTAGATAAACAAATAATGTACCTTGTAATTGAAAATCGATGTTATTGTTCGAAGTGTCTGTTTTTCATGGTCTTTGGAGTAGCCAGTGGAGTCAATTGTGTATTAAACTATGTGCGTGTGTGTGTGTGCGCAGGGTGTGTTTGACCACCGTATGAAGACGTGGCAGAAGTGGCAGGACAGTCAGTTGCTCTTGCAGAAGAAACGAGAAGCTGAAGCCAAACTGCAGTTCACCAACAAACCAGACAAACTGCAGCAGGCCAAAGACGAGATCAAAGAGGTAAGACACACAGACACACAGAGAGATGGAGGGTTGAATGAACATAGACCGAAAACATAATCGAAGTAACAAGTGGGGGGGAAAAAAACTATCCAGGAGGCCAGTATAAGAGTAATCGAAGGGTAGGCTGACTGTTATTTAGTGAAACATCAGCAATAAAATAAATAGATAGATATAAGTTTTCAGAGCAACAATAAACAAGGCAATGTTAGGAAAGATCATTTGTACAATGCAAAACAACATATATACGAATTAAAACATGCAAAACACAGACATACTATACGCAGAGCGAGCAACAGGCACATCCTAATAAAAAAGGCAAGCAAATCACACTAAGACCACAATGAAAGACATGTACAGTGGTTAAAAACATACACAGAGACAGACTGGCAATGACCATGTGATAGCAGGCTGTGTGTGGTTCTTACAGTTCCAGCACAGCAGACAAAAAGATTTAGTGTCACAAACAAACAGACTTTCAGTAGTATCGTCCATAATTACTGAATGCATAAAACAGCAAAAGAAACAGGTTAAAGGTTTAAAAAAAAAACATAATGTCACAATTTGAGAGGACACCACTCTCAGACGTTTATTTGCAGACTCAATATAGTGTAAAATAATTAATCTCCAGAGTCTACTGTATAATGGGTATTGTTATAATAACAGTGTATTAAATGACTACGTTAAAACAATCTGACGATGTGAAATGAGTCTCTGATCGTGATGAACCTACAGAGAATTACCAGCCTAATCTGAAGCTCCACTGTGCTTTATAGAAAGTTTCAACCCGTTGTTTAGCTGGTTCACGCTCTCATAGCCCTAAAAACCCATAGTGCACCAGTTTCTCAGCAGCAAACAACAGGCAGACACAGGTAGAGACTAGCTGGTGGACATAATGGAGCCTTTAGCTGCTAAAGAGCCAGATATGTCCCTCAGGGGTTGGTAGAGACCA